TATATAAGAACTGGAGTGTAGTCAGAGGCATGGGAGGGTGAAAGAATTCACCAGAGACAGAGCAGGCAGAAGAACAGGCAGACAGACAGAAGACACTGCTGAGGGCAGCAGCGGGAGAGGCAGGAGAGGTCTGCCGTGCCATGTGGGTTTCTCCCTGGGCGGCCGGGAATCGAACCCACACTGCAGAGGCTACGGACAGCTTCACAGTGCAGTGTTCCACCCACTGCACCACCAGGGAGGCCCACAACTTTCTATTTCACACCCCTCACAGAAGAAATCTTCAGGGTGAAGATTCTAAGTATGAAGGATTTTGAAATGTGTCCTGGAATGAAGAAGGTTGGGGAAATCTGTTCCAAAATCATCAGGTGACAGCAGCTTCAAATATTAGTAAATCCTGACTTGAGAATTGAAGAAAATTTCCCACTGGGGGAAAAAAAAAATGGAATGGAAGTTGATACCTGGCACTTGATTCTACAATCCAGAAGAAAGAAAAGGCAAACTTCCTGCAAACACCAGTTTAGGGACTTAAACACACCAGAAGCATTGTTTTTCAACTTCAAGATGTATGTTTCTACCACCCAGTGGCGATTAAACAAATTGATGAACACTCTTTTAAGTTCAATATTCTTTATTGAAAACCATAACTTATAAGACAAACTATCAGGTCATCCCCAAACGCCGGGTTTTCCTTAAACCTCAGGTTCTCACCATCCCCGGCTGCAGGGGGCCTTGTTGGCCCAGTCAGATAAGGTACTAGCAAGCAGCTAAGAAAAAGGGCCTCACACCGTGGGGCTGAAGATTTAACAACCCTTTGCTTGTTGTTCTTGGTCACAAAAAGAGAAAAATTTATCAGAAAGTATATTAGGCAATAAATTACACGTATCAGCATATTGTAAGTGAACAGCACGGAAAATTATCTGTTTAGAAATTAGTTATTAAACAATTTGGCCCACTTGACAATGGGAGACAATTTATTGTACATGCCTGACAAGCAATCCAGCACAACAATTATAGTAGGTCCTTCTTTTGCCTTCTCTTGAAGCTTCTTGGGAAAGTTTTTTAATGAAGCTATTTGAGTTAAGGAGTTTCTAGGTAGAAAAAGTTCTGATAGTTGAGTAGCAGCTGGTCCCCGGCTGAAGGCCATGCGAATAAGAAAAGTCTTTTCTTGCTTAGGCTTTAGCTGATAGGGGTGTCCTGGCGGCTATCCACTGTCTTAGGTTATTGTTTAACTGAAACAATGAGTTTTAGTGTAAGGCTTAGTTTTTTATTAACCTTGAAGGTTGCCTTCTTACTGAGAGCACATAGTGGCCAAAAGTCTATGGAAAAAAGGATGCACTGATTGTTTCTGCTTTGTTTCTATGCACATGATATTGTCATCTCACGGCTTGCTAAAAAAGTATAAAGAACCTGCTGAGTCTCTCGGCAGAAGATACTTGCACCTCATCCAGTGTCAGTGTCTCCTCACTGCCTCATCCCCTTCCCCTCAGTCCTTTTCGCTGCACCTAGACCGTCTTTTCCTTTCAAGGACTTCAGACCTGACATTTTGCTGAAAGCTGGTCTGCGGCAATCCCCCATTCCACATGGCTCCTTAGAGGGAGCAAAGAATAAAGTTTTGCCTTACCCTAGGCCTTAGCCTTCCTTTACCTTGTCAATAAGATGTTCTCAAGGCATGGTCCTGTTTTGAGAAGGCAGTGGGTGGGGCGTTCTGAGCTCGGGTGCCTGAATGTCTTAGGAGGCCTGTCTTCAGGATAATGCCAGGTTTGGGATGAGCTAGCCACCCGGATGGTGGAGGTTTCCATTTTCGTAATATTTTAATGTTATTTAGATATCCAAGCACTCCAGGAAGCTTCTAGGGAGCAGGAAATGTCCTCTTGGTCTTGGTCAGCGGGGCAGTGGTTATCAGGTTTATAAAACGTAAAAACCAATTTTCATGCACTTGATTATAAATAAGATATATTTCAGTTTAAAGCGTTATTAAAAACATATACCTTTAAAATGTTCAGTGCCAGGGATAAAACCTCACACTGTTCTCCTCATGACTTTGGACTGTCACTGCAAAAACATTGACTTCTCCTAAGAGAAAATTAGAACTTAGAGAAGAAATGGATATTTAATTGCAAGATATTTTGATCGGAGACAGTTATTTCCATTTAGGTGATTCGTTTCTTTTCCTTTTTAACATCACATTTGATTTATAGTTGATAGTACCTTGGAATGCTATTTAGTTATAAAACTGGAAATGCTTAATTCTTGCTTTCTGGCTCCTTTCTTAGGACATGACTTCCATGACCGTCCTTGGACAACCTGCTGACCATGCTGCAGGCCACTCTTGGCTGGAGCCTGCAGCCTGCATGGGGCAGTCCCGATGCCAGTGCACATGGCGGGGAGCCTAGCGGCAGCTGGCTTTTGCTCTCCTCCCCACCCATGCACCCTGGGCTCTTGAAACAGAAGAGGGTGCTCTCCAGACCACGGACCAGGTATGTATTTCCAATTTGGAATTGTTTGCTTTTGTTAAATCAGTCACTCTTTGGCCGACCTGCAAAAGCTGTTTTCTTCTCAGGGTTTCTGTTTTTGTTCACCTATGAAATGAAGGAGCTGGTCTGACTTAAATCACCTGGAGTGATTTAACCCAAACAAGAAAACAGGTGCTGTAGCAGACAGTGTTCAGTGCTTTGGTTAAAGAATGTCTGTCCCTTAGCTTTTTCATAGAGAGCATGTTTTTCAAAAACACATGCCTGGTGCAACAAGTTTCATCACCTCTACCTCACTGAGTGGCACTCAAAATACACTAGCTTGGCAACGAGGTGCTGTGAGTATGCTCTGTATCTTGCCCATCCCTCCCCCACCCCTCAAGTCATCCACTCTTTGTGAGAATAACTGAAACCATTGAGAGTTATTATTATTATCAAATGTTTATGAAATAATTTTGACCACAAGATATTGCTAAAAATACATATATAAAATATAAATGTGTATATATAAATATATGTATATAAATATATACAAATATGTGTGTGTATACAGAAATTCCTATTTCTCCTTCACACTGCTTTCCCCAATGACATCAATCTTTGTGGAACCATCATTTCATAACATGATTACCCCTTCCCCACTCTTATCCCCCAGCCATCAGTCTTGGATTCTGAAAAAATCCTACTCTCAAATGGCAGCATATTTGCAGCACAAGAATGAGAATCTGAGAATAAGAAGCCTTTCCTGGTTCCTGAGCCACAGCTTATTGTCTTTATGTGATATGGCTTCTCAAGGACATAAAAAAATTCCCTCAAACAAAAGCCAATGGTTTATTTATATAAAGTAGAGGCAATGAGCTCATGAATGCATGCATTTGCTTATTATTCTTCCTCGCAGAGGAGATGGATGGATGACTCTATTTATCTCTCTGTCTACACATCTCTCTCTCTCCATATGCAAAGAAAAGTGGTTTAAGTTGAGGAAATCAGTGAGGAATGATAGGAGGACTTGGTTGAGATGTGGGAAACTGAAGACTTAGTCCCAGCCCTGCTTATAGAATGAACTTGGCAAGTCATTATCTGAGACTTCATTTCCTCTACAATGAGGGAGGAAGGCTGGGGGGACGTGCAGTCAGAGGCTCAAACTGTACAACTCTATGGAGTGACCTTGACAGGCTGGGCTTTCTCGGAAGCTGACTCCATGAAGGGGCTTAGCAGGAAGGCTGCTTATTCAGGAGGAACTGAGGAGCATCATTGACTCTGGTATATAGCTTTATGCAATTTGAGGCAATTTTTCCTGGTGACACTTTCCAACTCTGGACAATAAGGTCTTCACTTAAGTGTTACAGGGCAAGAGAGGGACACCCCAGAACCCCCAAACCTGCCCATTCTAAATACGTTCTGCCGTCTGCCACACCAAGACAAAACATACAAGACCTTTAATGGAAAGTAACTTTAATACAATTAGTGTGCAGTACAGAAAAGACAAAGTATATAGTTTCCAAATCAAGCACCTAAAGTTACCCATGCCCTCATGGGTGAATGCCCAGCCAAACTGGGTTGAACCAAAGCAGGGCCACTGAGGCCCAAAAGTCTGCCACAAGTCTAAAGCACCTTCTGGTGGGGACCCATAGAAAAGGGTCAGAAACAGCCAGACAAGTCTGGAGGAAAAGTGCAAAATCAAAATCAAGATCAATGCTGCCATTGGTCTCTCCCCCCACATCTGTTTCAGTCCGTCTAGGACCAAACATCAAGCACAGCTTCTTCACATGTCTCTTCACTCCATGTGCCTCCTCTAGGTCTCCTTCTGGCTCTCCATCCTGCTTCCTTCCTTCTCCAGTCTCCTCTTCAGCTTCTTCTCTTCCCTGATCAGCTATAACCTCCCTTGGGTGGGGCAGGGAATCTGGCACTTCCCCTTTTCCTGGGAAGCTCCCTGTTACAGAAGGACCATCTGGGAGGCCCATCACCATGTCCACCACAATGTGAAAGCATAAGGTTGCTGTTAGTAAAATAATAGGATCTTAACATTATGCGGATATTGGAGATCATGCCACTCTACCTCTCTGTTGAACAGTGGAGGAAAATGTGGGGTTCAGTGACTTGCCCATGATCACTCAGCAAGATTACAGCAAAATAAGTCTGTTCTTTCCAGAACAAGACTGTTCACATGGTATTCACCTGATGGAGGACAGGAATAGCAAAACTGCAAAGGCGGCCCCACAAGACCAGCAACCTGGCTCACACAGGAATTGGGGGTAGAAGAGATTAGCATAGCTGTTGACACAGCTATGGAAACCAAGATCCTTAGGTGCCAAAGCCCAAATTACAAAGCATAAGATCCAAGCAGGTATCAAGCTGCTGTAGGCAGTGTCCAGAGCAAAGGTTCAAGGGTAAAGATATGGAGATCAAGTCCATTGTGGAATCTCCTGTCCTTTTCAGATTCTACATAGTTATCCAAAATGAGCAAATGGGCCTCCCTGGTGGCACAAGGGGTTAAGATGCAACCTATGAAGCTATCTGCAGCCACTGCAGGACGAGTTCCATCCCCAGCCAGGGAGCAACCCACATGGCGCAGTAGACCTCTCCTGACTCGCCCGCTGCTCCCCTCAGCAGTGTATTTCAGTCAGTCTGCCTGTTCTGCTCCCCACTCTGTTTCTGGTGAAACCTCTCACCCCCCACACCTCTGGCCTGTACCCCAGCTCTTGTATGCATAAATAAATAGATCTTAAAAAAAAAAATAAGCAACTAACCTAAGGCTCACAAGGAGTGAGCCCCTCCCAAACAAGAGAAGACTTTATCAGTGCAGTCTCTGCACAGGCTCTGGGAGCAATCTCTCGGCCTTCTGTGCCTATGCAGGTGCTTCTTTTTACCAACCCTCTCCCTCTGCAGGGCAGCAGCTCCCTACCTGCCCGTGACCTGTACTTCCCCTCATTGACCTCCTTCAGCGGAGGCCGCTCTCCTCAAGGCCACCTGCCTGCAAACATGCAGGCCTCTCTTAGCCAACCTGTCCCTTTCAGGGCAGCTCTTCCTGCCTGCTTGTGTCTATGCAAGTGTCCTTTATTCTTCTGTCCTTTCCCTAACAAACCTGCTTTTTAAATATAACCAATGTCTCTGTTCTCGTGGAGGAACTTGCCTGGGAAACTCATCGCGTATTGCTGAAACGGGAGCTCTGGTGAAACCTTTCCCAGAGTGAGCCTAAGGACCCCGCACTCCAAACCCACTAACTCCAAAAAATCCCATCACACCTGCTGAACTCTCCACAGGAGCATAAAGAGGCAGGTCACAACTGTCCTGAGGGTGCCACACTGGCCTTGGCCGCAGTCACAGCCCAGGGGGTCTGGAGCTCTAGCCTGCATTTTATGACAACTCTTCTACTCCCAGTGCCTCAGCCTTTCAAAGAAAGTGGCATTCATGCCTCTTGCTTCCTTGGTGCCTGTTCAGGGAATTTTTTCAAGTTGATCCTTTCTCCTTGGCGCCTGGTTAAAAAAGGGGGACTTAAAAAATGCATTAGGATTAAGCCCAGTAGTGATGGTGCCTTGGTGCCTTCGGCCATATGGGAAATTCTTCAATTCATCATGCAAAGCTGGATTGACAGAAAACAGGGCCAAGCCTGAGAGGATCAGGAACTGGCATTTTCCCCCCAGATTTGCATAATTCACCCGCAAGCATCTCTGGGGCTTGAGCTGAAGAGGCCCCAGGCGGCTAATAGTTAACTTTGGGGTTTGTGTTCAGAACCAGTCTCTGTGACTGGCAGCACTTGGGGTGGGGGTAGGAGGCAGGAACCAGAGGTAAAACTGCCAGAAATGGTTACATTTTGTAAGTAATGTATCTTATCTTGTTCCATTCAGAGAGGAAAAGAAAACATCAGCCTCAGAGCCAAACCTATTTCTGGGGTTAATCCATCTCTGTACAGCTGCTCCCTGTAAATCTCTCTTGCATTAGATTCCAGGTGCTTTAGACTAATTAATGCACACACTGTGTTTCTGGGAAATTTAATAAGAGCTGGCAGTGTCTCTTGTAATTCGTGTTTCTGTGTCTTACCTCCACATCATGCGTTCATATGGAAATTAATTTAGTGCTCATCAGATAGCAGAGAGAATCGTCAAGGTGTGGGTTTCTTCTAAGCATTGTTGAAAGTTCTTCCCCCACCCTCCTGCAGGTGAATACTTAATATTATCCAAACAGGGAGAAACTACCTTGCTGCCAATACACAGGAATGATTTTAGAGCTGAAGGTGTAACAAGGCAATCCCCAGGAAAGGGGAGTTTCCAGGTTCCTTGTGATACTGGAATTGTCAGGACTAGTCTTCCAGCCTGGAACAGATCCCAGGCTGCAGGTGCAGCACTGAGTCCCAGCCACTAGACCCCCACGGGTTGGTGTCTCACGAAGCCACAGCAGGAACTTCGCAGACTCTCAGGCAAGCAAGCAAGAAGAGGCAGGTTTGTTTTGAGAAAGAAAAAGTTTATTGAGGAGAAAATCCCTAAATTCTTCAGAGGTCCCCTCCTGCACTGTCCCTAAAACTGCCTAATTTCTAGCTTGCCCTGTGTCTCACTTGCCCTGTCATGGAAGTGTGGAGCTGAGCAGGGACGGGGAGCAAGAGAAGGCAGGAGAAGGAAGGAAGGGGATACCAAGACCAGCACCTGGAGGAGACAGTGAGCAGGAGACACGTGAAGAAGCTGTACTTGCTCCTTGGCCTGGGCTTGTATCAGGAACTTGGGGGACATGGAAGGAGACAATTGAAAGAGACAGAGATGTGGGGAAGAGACCTGTGGGGAGGCTGACACCGGCAGCCTTTATATTGATTTGGGTTTTGATTTTGATTTTGCTTGTTTCTTTTTATTTATTTATTTATTTATTTATTTATTTATTTTATTTTTATGCAAGATCTGGGGTATAGGCCAGGTGCAGGGGAGGGTGAGAGAATTCACCAGAGACAGAGTGGGGAGCAGAAAAGGCAGAAGGACCAAAGACACTGCTGAGGGGAGCAGCGGGCGATGCAGGAGAAGTCTGCCGCGCCATGTGGGTATCTCCCTGGCCTGCCAGAATTGAACCCACACCGCAGAGGCTGCAGACAGTTTCACAGCCCTGCGCTCAACCCGCTGCACCACGGGGAGGCCCTGATTTTGCTCTTTTCCTTCTAGACTTTCCTGGCCCCTTTTGCCCCTTTCCTATGGGCCCCCACCAGGAAATGCCTTAGACTTGCGTCCTGTTTTGAGCTAACTCTGTTTGCCTGGGCATTTACCCACAAGCGCATGGGTGGTAGTTTTTGGTGCTTGATTTGGAAACTGTATTCTTCCTGTTTTTCTTCTCTTTATTGCACACTAATTGTATTAAAGTTGTTTTTCAGGGCCTCCCCGGTGGAGCAGCGGTTGAGCGCTGGGTTGCGAAGCTGCCTGCAGCCTTTGCAGTGCTGGTTCGATCCCCGGTTGCTCCCGGTCACCGGAGGAGGGTCCCGCATGGCCCGCAGACCTCTCCTGCCGCCCGCTGCTCCCCTCAGCAGTGTACTTGGTCAGTCTGCCTGTTCTGCTCCCCGCTCTGGCTCTGGTGAATTCTCTCACCCTCTCGCGCTTCTGACTGTACCCAGTGCTTGTATAAATAGATAAATAAATAAATCTTTAAAAAAAAATAAAGTTGTTTTCCATTGAAGCTTTTATGCACTGGAGCACGTTTTGTCTTGATGTGCTGGGTGGCAGAACCTATTTAGAGCAGACAGGTTTGGAGGTCCTGGGGTACCCCTCGTCCTCCTGTAACAAAGGGATTCCTTCACTTTTCACATCTGGACTTGACCTGGCCCTCCATGGCCAGTGTGTTCCCATCACGCCCTGCCATGCACTACCTGGGAACCCTCTAACTTAGCTGACCTCTAGACACTTCCTAAATGTTCATTCTTTTCTAGGCCTTCTCGTCCCTTAGTATATGCTGGTCCCTTTGCCTGGACCATCTTTCTCTGCCTTCTTCACTAGAGAAACATCTGCTTCTCCTTGAAGGCTCCTAAAATGTCATTCCTCTGAAGGATTGGAGTTGGGATTCCTCAATAATGAAGGTGTCATAGGGTTGCTGGTGGGAGACAAGCCTGCATGAGGAAACCCCAGGTAGCTGAGAAACTGATTCATTGTTCTCCCTCCCTGGAGAGATTCTTACAGGGGTCCTGCTCTTGCTTATTTGCTGCAGGGGGTCTTGTTGCCCCAGCCGGATAGGATACTGACAAGCAGCAAAGAGAAAGGGCCTCACACCGTGGGGCTGAAGATCTGGCATCCCTTCGTTTTTTGTTCTTGGTCATAGAGAGAGAAAAATTTATTAGAGAGTATATTGGGCAGTGGATTGTACGTGTCAGCAGACTGTGGGTGGATGGTGTGGAAAATTGTCTGTTTAGAAATTAGTTATTAAACAATTTGACCCACTTGACAATGGGAGACAATTTATTGTACATATCTGACAAGCAAACCAGCACAACTATTATAGTAAGTCCTTCTTTTGCTTTTTTAGAAGTTCCTTTTTATTTAGAAGTTTCTTAGGAAAGTTTTAAAATGAAGTTAACTGTGTTAAGTTTCTAGGTAGAAAAAGTTCTGATAACTGAGTAGCAGCCGGTGCCGGCTGAAGGCCATGAGAATAAGGAAAGTCTTTTCTTGCTTAAGCTTTAGCTGATAGGGGTGTACTGGCGGCTATCCACTGTCTTAGGTAATTGTCTAGCTGAAATCATAAGTTTT